AAATTGCAATCCCCAGCACAAAAAAGGAGTCCCACACAAACACCGTCTACGGGTCCGAGTACTGCTTCCGAAATTACAAGGCCCCGGAGCATTACCCAAGCCACGAGCTTTGCAACGCCTATTAGTGGTGTTTCTTACGCACAGGCCGCTAGAGGTGGACCGTCAAATAAGAATACCACAAGTGACACTTTGTTCACTGAAATGCTTCAGCAACAACAACGTCAGTTTGACGCAATTAATGCCGAGCTCAAAGCGATGCGAGAAGTACAATCCCAACAAGCAACCATGCTAAACAGTTTAATGGCCATCATAACCAAGCTTGCCTACAAATAATGGCTTTACGTGTGGGTATCTGGAACGCCAATGGCCTGAGAAACAAGACTCAGGAACTGGCTGCGTTTCTCTCACAAGAAAACATAGATATAATGTTAATAACAGAAACTCATGAGTGCCCCACTACACAAATTTTCGGATACGAACACTATCAGGCTCATGGTGAAGGAGCAAACTGCTTTGGTGGATCCTCAATCCTCATACGAGCAACAATACCGCATACACCTTTACTGTCAATTTGCAACGCAACAATGCAGGTCTCAGCCATCACCCTGCCTACGTCTATTGGAGCGATCGAAGTTGCGTCAATTTATCTTCCGCCAAACACTGGTCTGTGTGATCATCACATGGAACAGGTTCTAGGCCAAAGGTTGAATAAGACCCTCATCGGCGGCGACTGGAATGGATGGCACCCATTTTGGGGAAGCAATAGTGCGAATCGTCGCGGAGAAGTCATATTTGAGGCGATTCAAAACTTACAATTCAGCATATTGGCGACTGGAGCCCCCACCCGTTACCCAATTAATGGACACAGGCCCTCGGCAATCGACTTCGCTGTCTACAAAGGCATCTGTGACCGGCAATTGACCATTGAAGAATCCTTGGACCTATCCTCTGACCACCTGCCACTAATAGTCACAATCCACGCGCAGCCACAGCCCTTGCCCATTAGGAAACAACTACTGCCAGCAGGATCAGATTTAGGAGTCTTTAGGCGCGAGCTCCATTACTCTTTGCACATAGAAATGGAACTTAACACTCCTGAAGACGTGGACTACGCAGCAAACAAACTGCAGGAAGAAATAGTCAAAGCTGCGCACCAAGCCGCCCCACCATCTTGCCAAACAAGACAACAGTCTCCGTACAACATCCCCCTCACCTTGGAGGCCCAACACCTACTAATACACAAAAGATGGGCCAGGAGACGCTGGTTAAGATTACGCACGCCTGATGCCAAATCCACGTACAACGAAGCCACGAGGCATCTTAAAGCTGCTCTCGCCCTGCTTCAAAAGAGGTGTATCAGCGATGCGCTGGTACGAGCTGAATCGCCCACTGACGCAGAGTTTCAATTATGGAAATTTACAAGAAAGCTCAAACGGCAGCCAATACGTCGACATCCCATTCGGAGCATTTCTGGTTCCTGGCACATTGGTGACGAAGCTCAAGCTGAGGCTTTTGCAAACCACCTTCAAGACCAATTCACGCCGGTGATTACCGCAGAGGCCTCAGAAATCGAAGCAACAGAAGACATCGTTCTCTCGCCCCTCCCAGCTGAAGACCAGATAACTGGATGTACAAAAGAAGAGGTTCTTGAACACATCAGAAGAGTGAAGGCAAAAAAATCCCCTGGATATGATCTAATAAACGGCAGAGTCCTTAGAGCACTGCCTGACTCCACCATAGACTACATAACTATGGTGTACAACGCCATGCTCCGCATCCGGCACTTTCCAGCCTGCTGGAAGCGCGCCGCGATTGTGATGATTCCTAAGCCTGGCAAACCCGTGGGAGAAATTGAGTCGTACAGACCAATTAGCCTGTTGCCAGTACTCTCCAAAATATTCGAAAGAATATTTCTGGAACGAGTACTGACACATCTGGGACGCCAGGAGGCCATTCCAAACCATCAGTTTGGCTTCAGGAGACAGCATGGAACACCGGAACAGGTTCACAGAGTTGTGCACCATATCCTTGGAGCCTTTGAAGAAAAGATGTACTGCTCTGCCGTCTTTTTAGACATCAAACAGGCGTTTGATCGAGTTTGGCACCTGGGACTGCTGCAGAAAGTGAGGACCACCCTTCCAGCCCCATTTTTCGCGTTGCTATCCTCATACCTTATTGGAAGAACCTTCCAAGTGTCAAGGGGACAAGCAGTATCCTTGACTAGACCAATTATGGCTGGAGTACCACAGGGTAGTGTTCTAGGCCCAACACTTTATACTTTATTCACAGGAGATATGCCAACTCCCGAGCCAAATATAGGAAGTACAGATGCAGTACTCATAGCGACCTATGCAGATGACACCGCCATCTTATCACGTCACGTATCTGCGCAAGAAGCTTCAGACTCACTACAAAAATATCTGGACTCTTTCGGACGCTGGGCAAAACGGTGGTGTATCACCATTAATGCACAAAAGTCTGTACATACTACCTTCGCCACTAGAAGAGGAGATTGCCCAAGCGTTGCATTGGGGCCCACTATTCCCAAAGCCTCAAAAGTAAAGTACCTTGGTATCACTCTTGACAGAAGGCTGACTTTTAAAGCGCACATAAGTCAAGTAACCTCAAAATGCAAAAGCAAGCTAAAAACCCTCGACTGGATGCTGAGAGCTTCAAGCAAGTTGTCTTACAGCAGCAAGGCCGCCATCTACAAGGCAATAGTTGTCCCAACCTTCGTATATGGTATCTCTCTATGGGGCTCCTCGGCGAAGACTACAAGGAACAAAATTCAGACCCTGCAGAATAAAGCACTACGCAGATGGACTGGAGCCAGCTGGTTTGTAAGAAACTCAGTCTTACATAGGGATTTAGCAATTCCCACAGTTGCTGAACTCATTGGGCGACACAGTTCAAGATACGCGGACAGACTTGCAGCGCATCCTAACCATCTCGCAAGCAACCTGGCTATAAACAACAATAGGCGAAGACTGAAGAGATTGCATCCTCTAGACAATATTAGAACTAATTAAGATAGTAGCTACAAGTGCAGAATAATTGGCATATCTGCCCTCCCATTAGTTAAGGTTTAGAGCTAAATGCGCTATAGAGTCTAAGACAATAAGCTGCAACAAAATAAAGAAAAAAAAAAAAAAAAAAAAAAAAAAAAAAAAAAAAAAAAAAATGTAATATAGAGAGAGGCAAAAAATAAAACAAATCTGCAGCAGTTAAGCAGATGAGTTGATGAATGAGGCTGCAGCGTATATTGCAAAATCTGTCGCCGCAGCCGCAGCCGCAGCCGCAGCCGTAGCAGTTGCCTCATAATTCCGCTTCAGCTGACGAGTTATCGCACAGCCATCTCTATCGCTCTTTATCTCTATATGTCACTCTCATTCTCTCTCTCGCGCTCACTGATTCTCTCTAAGCCGAGAAGATTTTCGATTTATCATCGTTTGCAGCGCAAGCTGTCGGCATGGTATTAAGTATTGTTGGCGAATGCGACCAAAGAAATAAAAAAAGATGATGAAGAGAAGAAAAAAAAAAACAAGTGTGTATATATCAGGCAATGGGCCAATGGGAATGCCATAAACGGCAGCCAATTCGAATGCGAACACTGCTGGCGGAAGTGCATGCGAATGCGAGTATGTGGACGCGGATGCGGATGCGGATGTGGACGTGGATGCGGATGCCATTGCCCAGTGCAATGCCAATGAAATTTATCTAGCTGCTTGTGTGTGTGTTGGCGTGTGTGTCTATGGCGGCTTTCTATAAATTTATGGCCAGCAATTTTTCGCATATTTTCCAATGCTTCAACTGGCGCCAAGTTGAATTTAGTAGCCAAAAGCGTTAGTTCTATGGGCACATATGAACACAGATAGCAATAGCTACTAGCTCAGTCTTGTTAGAGAAACGCCTTAGCGCTATGGATATAGCAAAAGTATGCGTTGTACTGCCTACTTTTTTAATACTCTAGCTAAAGCTAATGAAGGAAAGTATTTGTTATATTAGTTTCAGTCAGAATGGATTTGATTTTATAAGAGCTTTGTGTCTGACAATCAGCACATATTTCTATATGACATAAGGTTCTACAAAGTTTAATAGAAGTTTGATTTGATGTTTTTTGATATGGTAAATCGTTATAGAATCGAAATAGAAATACTGTTGGTATGATTAACTTTTAAGTAAGATTATTTACTATATATTATATTCAGCTCTTAATATAAGAGAATCCAATTGAACTAAGCTGAGCAACTTTAAACTTCTTTCAGCTCAAGGAACCTACAGAAAAAAATAACAAAAATATATTTAGACTAAAAGCTATTGTAATTTAAATATAATAAATTTGAACGAATTTCGCCTCATTATGCCTTCCAAATGCAATGTTTTGTTAAGTTCAAATTCTTAATTAATCTACACAAGGGTATTTGGCCTGCGGCAATTGTAACCTAATTACGTCTGCTTCTTTTTCCCAACTTCTATGTATCTGGTATACCATAAATGGTATTTTTTTGTGCCTTTAGCAGTTTTAATTGATTTCACAAAAGCTGTGATTGATGGTCGCAGTCGGACACAGGCGCAGGTGCAATTTATGGCTCACATTCAATGCAAAAAATATAAAAATAAAAATAAATTCATTTTCAATTTATAAAAATGTGAAAAATTTGAAAAATGTGAAAAATGCAACTAAAAATTTGTTTGTTGCTGCTTTTAGCAGTTTTGGAATTTTTAATATTTTTTTAAATATGATTTAATGGAATTTTATTTGAATTTGGAATTTTTACAAACGAATTGGTTTTATTTTTGTTATACGGGGCAGCTGCTAATTCTACATTTGCGTGCAACATTTACAGCAATTTTTTTGCTTTTTCTTTTGGTTTCTCTATCAAGCGCTAATAAAGCAAAAAATATTTGTAATATACAAATTTAATTGTTGTTGTACCATTCGATTAGAAACATAAAAGAATTGTTGATTGATTTTTATTTGCTTGATTAATTTTGGTTACCTCAAGGTCAAAACGGTTGATACGGCGTGGTACATTTGATTTTGTCGGGGTTGTTGGCTGATTTGCATATATCACATAAATATATATATTTAAATATATGATTTATATAAATATATTGCACGATTTTGTCGTCAAATTAAAAAATGTTACAAATGTTTTTTTTTTTTTTTTGGTTGAACGCAAAATTTTTATATATAGAGAGAAATGTGTAGAGAATATTAGTTAAATACATCTGTTAAACTGTACTAACTTAGAGGATATGCAAGTGAGGATATGCCTAAAGGATATGCTTAAAGGCTAACTTAGTTTCAGCTGATATTTTTTGTGGTTGTTTGTGTGGGGCGGGGACGGGGTAGGGGGACACGGCTGTGTGGTTACAAAATGCAAATGAAAGAGAAATTTTCAGCTCTCTTTTTTGTCCTGCTTTTTTTTATTAAATTACTTAACGTAAATTTGGAAATGCAAAAATTGCATAAATGGAAATATTTGAGAGAAGATTTTACGTTTTGCATAAAATTCCATTTCCATTTCGGATTTTTTTTATTAGATTTTTTCCACAATTTTTGCCAGACATTTGGACTTTTTAAGGGCATATTTTCGCGGCTTTTAGTCATATTAAAGTGCGGGTGGATACTATAATATTTTTTTGTGTACTTTGGCCATGCCGCGCTTCATTTTGTATCTATGCAGTTGGAACATTTTCCGACAATTTGCAACGTATTTTTCGCGCAGCTGTTTGCTTTTATTTTGCCACGAACTGGAACTGTATATATATCGAGGGAGAGAGTTTGCATTTTGGCTTAAACGTGGCACAAAGATATAGAAGCATGCGATGGTAGTTATTTTTAGCCTGAGTTGTTGAAGTCGGGTAGGTGGACAGCGCGTGGTTGTTTTTGTATTTGTAGAGGGCTGTGGGTGTGGGTGTGGGTGTGGGTGTGTGGCACTTACCTATCTGCTTGTGTTGCTGAACCAGAACCCGCCGGCTTTAGGCTCTTAAATGCTTTCAGCCACTTTGTTTTCATCGATGGCGCTGTGGCGGCCGAGAATTTGCGTTCGTTGCGCGGCGAAGTTGGCTCAACTTTGCTAACGAATAACTCCTTCTGCCAGTGCCCAAAACGGAAAGGGAGACAGTCACAGATGCAAGAGATAGAAAGAGAGAGAGAGAGAAAGAAATAGTGCTTAGTGCTTTGGTAAATACAATTTGGCTAAAGTCAAAGCGGTTCACATGCTGGCAATTTGCATTTAAACGTCTCACGTTGCAGTTTAATTACAGCCATTAGCACAACACAACACACACACACACATACACACACATAGAGACAGAGACAGTAAGAGCCAGCGTTAGCTACAAGCTCGTTATGGCATAATTACATGCATACGAGTTGTATTTAGGCGCACAATGTTAAATATTTAACTGCATATCTGATATTTGGTTATTTTGATAGGCGCCCTAACAACTCCACAGCCATGCGTGCCATGGTAAATAAAGCTATTTTAATTAATAATCAACACTTTACAAAATACCACAAAATGTAATTACACGACACACACATGCACACACAGACAGACACACCGATAGTCACTTGTGACAATAATTAAAACCACGTGTGACATTTGGTCACAGTTGAGTTTAGCTTTGGCTTTATGCGTTGCTAAACGAAACTAATGCTCGTAATCACAGTCGGCACTGCTTGAGTAATCCAGAAATAAATGCATAAATTTCACATTATGTGGTTCTTTTATAATGGCATACGAAATGTTGATTAAATGCGATTTATCTATATGGGAATTTACATCTATTTATGTTAGAATTGACCCACTTTGCATAACACATCGGAAGGAGAGGGTGAGAGAGTGGGAGAGAGGGAGAGCGGGGCTAGGGGAGCTGCTGTTGAGTTGAACGAGAGCCAATTTATTTATATAACAAGAACGAAACTTTTCAAAATGTGTCTTCCTCTGTACAAAACAGCCACTGCTGTGGGGCTTAATTAAATTCCATGAAAATCACATAGAAAGGCGTTCGTGAATGGGCTGTGGCCGTGAGTGATAGAGTCAGTTGAAGAGCGAGAGAGGATGAGTTGTTATACTGAGTGCCCCAAGGTGAGTTAACCAGAAAAAGATTGAATATGAAGATGAAAGAGGAGGAAGCAAGAGGGAGAGGGGGAAATAGGGAGAGTGACTTTGATAGTAAGATGGTGACATTGAATGAATGAAAGAAAGGAAATGTTTGAGTAAAACTTAAATGATACGTGTAGGAGAGAAGAGCAGAGAGAGAGAGACGGAAAGATAAAATGAGAGACAGGTAAAAGGCGTTAAATAATTAATGAGGATAGAGAGGGAAAGAGAGTCCAAGTGAAAAGAGAATAAAAAAGTTAAAGTTGGAGTCTAGAAGATTAAGAAAGAAAGATAGGGTGATAAAGAGAGAGATAATAGCAGAGAGACAATAAGAGGAAGGGAGAGATAGAGTGAGAGACACAGAGAGAGAGAAAGAGTGAAGGTGTGGGGGAGTGAGAGAGAAAGAGAGTAAAAGAATAGAACAGAAGAACATAGAGTAACAGCAATAGAGGCAAAGACAGAGGGAGATAGAGAGAGGGAGGCTAAGTACTAAGCGTTGTAGTAAAACTAGAATGAGAGAGGCAAAGACAAAGAGTGAAATCAATAATGAGAGTGAGTGAGAGAGAGAAGAGTAAAAGCTGAAAGTGTTTAACAGAATAAGAAACTGAAGTCTGATTCAATTCAGGTTGATTCCTACGCTCATTAAGCTGATTGACAATAGGAAAACTGAAATCACCTTTGCAATCAATAACTAGTGGTCTCAATAAGCCTTTTCAGATCTAAACATGCTTATCTACCTTTAATCAGTTATCTGTATGAATTACAAAGCTTTTTTTGCTGCCAACAGAGAAACTTTTAGCTGTCAATTTCAGTTGATGACATGTCAAGGTCCCAGCTGGAACAGCTGCTAGATCGCTTGCCATGCCATGATATTGACTTCTCTCTCTGTGTGTGTGCTTTCAACTGAGTGAAAGACAGCCGGATAGACATGCCTTGCGTTGCCACAACAATAACAGAACTCGGTCCTACCAAAAATATTCAGCACTCTTGGCAATTGCGGCATTTATAATGCAATGAGGCGCGTGCACTTTTGTGCCTGTCGCCTGACTTTTTGATGCACGTTGCAAATGCTATTTTCGACATGTTTTTAAAAGAGAGAGACAGAGATAGCGAAAGAGAGAGAGATAGTAGCTGAACTGACAGGCTTGACAGTGAATTGGCATGAGTGCCTGCTCGTGCCTGACAGCAGGATATTAAGTTTGTCATGTGTCCATAGAACAGAGCGCGTGTGTGTAGGAAGGCATCGATGCCAATGCGCGCAACAACAATCGCATGTAGAAAATGGATTTTTAAACGTTTAAATGCGATGCACAGCAATTAAGCATGAATTTGCAGCTATGAAACGCAATTAATTCGCAGCGGGCATTCAATTAAAATAAATGTTGATTGCAAAGCTCAGATAAGCCAAGAGATAAAGTTGAATAACTATTAAAGAGTAGCTTAAATAGATAAACTACCAGCATCTTCAGCTCAACTGAGCTCCGCTGTGTGTGTGTGTGGTACGTAATGGACATGTGACTGTCATGTTGCCTTTGTCATTGTCGACGTTTTGGCGGGCGTGTCCTGTGCCATAAATTTATGCATGCAGTGCATAAAATTCAAATTAAAGGAGCTGCTGCTGCCGTCGCCATAGCCGCGCCGCCGAGCATCCTGCCAGCGACAAGTACACGTTTTGACACTTTACAACACTAGTGGGGGCCTGGCCTGCTGTCGCCATAGACTCTGGCCAGAGACATAGCTTTAGCAAAGGCAACTGTTACCCGCAGCCAGGCAAACGCCCGCTCCTTTGGCTGTCAGAGCCAACTATATGGCAGCTGTTAAAAGCAAGCGCCCGGACCTGATGTGGGCGTCAACGTCAACGTCTAAGCAATCAGTGGCCATGTGTCTGACAGCTAGCCGCACTGCCAACACAATGAACGGCATCAAATGTTGCGCCCTCTGCTTCTTCTTCTTCTGCTTCTGTGTGTATTTGAGCAGAGCTTTAAGCGCTCGCCCCTACTTGTTTTTGAGTTCAACTTCAATTGCATATAATGTGCCCTAATTGATTTCCTTGCGTAAAAGTGGCCAGCACTTCAGAGTGCTGTGCAAACGCTTTTTCAGCTGAGTTTTCATCATAAGCCTTGGCCCAGCTATCTGTGTCCTCTGGGAGACAGAGAAGAGCAAAAATTTATGGCTGTCACAATTTTTAATTATGTTGCTCTACGATATTGAAACCACAAAGGTATCATAAATTGCCGAACCCAAGTGGCAACATAAAAAGAGAGGAGAAAAGTGGGGGAAAAGCAAAACAATAAGAGCAGATTGGCACACAAAAGGCCGCACTGAAAGAGCCAACAGCTCAAGTGGGCCAGGACTCAAAAATTTGCTCATTAAGACCGCAACAAAGCAGCCAAAGCGAACCCTTTTCAAGATGGGCAAAACAAAAGGCGGCGCGCTTCATCTGTCGGCCAATTGCAACAAATTGTGGTTGCCAATCACAGAGAGCGAGAGAGAGTGAGTGGGAGGTGGGGACTGAAGAGTGTATGGGCGTGGCAGCTTGCACACTTCTAATGAACTATTCGCTATTCGCTAGTCGAGCGCATATTTTATTGCCACTTTGATGAGCAGCTGCCAACATATAAAACAATTTTTTGTTGCGCCTTTGTAATTTGCAAAAAAAAAGTGAGCGAGGCGGGGGTGGCAGAAAGAGACAGCGATGGCGAGTAGTGCCGCAGCCAGAGGCAGTCATTAGTGGGCAAATGTGGCACGATATGTGCACAGTCAGCGCTCACTTCATGGCTTTTAGAGCGCCAACTAATTGCAGCAGCAGTAGCAACGGCAGCTACGGCAGCTCCAGCTTCAGTGAGCGACATGTGAGTGCCGTGCAAACACGCTTAAGACAATTTAAACGAGACACAGAGAGCAGGGGCAGGGCAGGGGCAGTGGGTGACTGAGTTGAGTTGGGTTGGGTTTGCTGCCCAAACAAACATTTCCGTAAATTACACGCATTTGTCAAAACGAAACAATGCGCAAAGTGTTTATTTGTTTTACTGAGTGCTTTTGAGCGCAAAAATGACTCAACACAAAAACTGCAGTTAGAAGGCAGACACAGCAGCGGCCCAGCGCGCTCACTACGCCCACCCGCTGCTGGCTGTCTGACTGCCTGCTGCCTCTGTCTGTGTCTGTGTCTGTGATGTGAAAATGTTGCAACTTCTAATGGGTTTGCTTGTTGTTGAGATCGTTGTTGTTGCTGCTGCACTCATGCGCGAAATGTAGAGCAGCGATTATGCAACCACATGCAATGACAATGCAGCATCGATCCGTGGCTCTAACCACAGCACACACCCACCCATACACATATATGCATACACTCATATAGAGCAGCCAGCAGCGCGCTTGCACTATGCGGCGTATGCGCAATTTGTAATTTTCATTAACGCCTAAAAGCAGCAATTAGTTTTTGCTTCTCGTTTTTTTTTGGGGGGATTTTTGCCATTTGCTTTGTCATGTGCATCGCTGATGCTTTGCATTGAATTGAAGAGGCAGACTCTTAAACCACATACCACAGCCACCAGCTGTGAGTGCAACAAATGTTGCCAGCTTCAATTTTAATGAGCTTTAATGAGTTAGGCTTTGGCTGCTTAGCATTTAATGCGATCCAATGTATATCCCGTGTTTAAGGTCTTTATTAAGCGTTCTAGCTAAAAGAGCTCTTCTTTAGCTGTGTTTTTATTCATTGTCATTTTCTTGCCAAATGCCTGCTGTAAGGAAATGTAAGCACAAATTGCTTTTTCTTATGAAATCTAACTTAGAGCTTGCATTCACTTCTGCTACAAAGCATCTTGTTGCTTTGTCTTTAGCCTCGGCTTAACATTTACTGTGATCTTTCTAGAAGTCCTTCACTCTATCACTGCATCCGCCTTTTAAGCTTCTTCTAGAGAGACTTAACTCAAGGAACTTATCCCTACCTCTGTTATTTTCAGCCTTCGCTGCCTATTGCTCACTG